ACAGATGTTGAGGACCTCTTCGCCCGTGGCGCTATTCAAGTCCTTGTCTGTACCGCGACCCTTGCTTGGGGTGTCAACCTGCCAGCGCATACCGTCATTATCAAAGGCACTTCAGTATACTCTCCAGAGAAAGGTAGCTGGGTTGAGCTCAGCCCCCAAGACGTCCTGCAGATGCTTGGACGTGCCGGGCGTCCACAATACGATACCTATGGCGAGGGCATCATCATCACAACCCAGAACGAGATCCAGTACTACTTGTCGCTCCTCAATCAACAACTACCAATCGAGAGTCAATTCGTCAGTAAGCTCGTAGACAACTTGAACGCCGAGATTGTGCTCGGCAACGTCCGCAGTAGAGACGAGGGTGTCGAATGGCTTGGCTACACCTACTTGTTCGTTCGTATGCTACGTTCGCCCGGCCTCTACCAAGTTGGCGCGGAATACGAAGATGATGAGGCTTTGGAACAAAAACGAGTTGATTTGATTCATTCTGCTGCTTCAGTACTAAGGAAGTCAAATCTTATCAAATACGATGAGAAGACCGGCAAGCTCCAGTCAACGGAGTTAGGGCGCATCGCTTCCCACTACTACATCACACATGGCTCTATGGAGACTTACAACAACCTGATCCAACCCTCAATCACAACCATTGAGCTGTTCAGAGTATTCTCTCTGAGTGCAGAGTTCAAGTACATCCCCGTGCGTCAGGATGAAAAGCTTGAGCTTGCCAAGTTGTTGGGCAGAGTTCCGATTCCAGTTAAGGAGAGCATCGAGGAGCCTCACGCGAAGATTAACGTGTTGCTGCAAGCCTACATCTCACGACTTAAGTTGGACGGTCTAGCCCTTATGGCTGATATGGTCTACGTCACTCAATCCGCTGGTCGTATTCTCCGCGCCATCTTCGAAATTACCATGAAGAAGGGATGGGCGTCTGTGGCCAAGACCGCCTTGGATCTTTGCAAGATGGCAGAGAAGCGCATGTGGCCAACCATGTCACCACTTCGTCAGTTCCCCAACTGCCCTAGAGACATTGTGCAGAAGTCGGAGAGAATCGAAGTGTCTTGGAGCAACTACTTCGACCTCGACCCTCCTCGAATGGGAGAATTGCTTGGCATGCCCAAGGCCGGCAGAACTGTCTGTGGCTTGGTTGCCAAGTTCCCCAGAGTGGAGGTTCAGGCTCAAGTTCAGCCACTTACGAGATCCATGCTTCGAGTCGAGTTGAGCATCGCTCCCAACTTTGAGTGGGATGTCGAAATCCACGGCCCAGCGGAAAGTTTCTGGATCTTCGTCGAGGATTGTGATGGAGAGGATATTCTCTTCAGTGACCAATTCTTGCTGCGCAAGGAGTACGCCGAGTCTGAGTCGAACGAGCACATTGTCGACTTCACCGTGCCGATCACAGAGCCAATGCCCCCGAACTACTTCATCTCAGTTGTGTCTGATCGCTGGATGCATTCCGAAACAAGATTGCCAGTATCATTCCACAAGCTGATTCTTCCCGAGAGGTTTCCTCCCCACACTGAGCTCCTTGAGCTTCAGCCTTTGCCTGTTGCGGCGCTGAAGGCCAAAGAGTATGCCAAATTGTACCCTGACTGGGACCACTTCAACCGCATACAGACGCAAACTTTCAACTCGCTGTACAACACCGATCAGAATGTGTTCGTGGGTGCGCCGACGGGAAGTGGCAAGACGGTATGCGCAGAGTTTTCTCTACTGCGACACTGGTCTAAGGCAGACGCTGGACGTGTAGTCTACATCGCACCCTTCCAGGAGCTGATCGACTCACGCCTTGATGACTGGCAGAAGAGGCTTGGCGGTCTCCGGGGTGGAAAGACTATCGAGAAGCTCACGGGAGAAACCACTACCGACTTGAAGATTCTGGAGCGTAGCGACCTGATTCTTGCGACTCCCATCCAATGGGATGTATTGTCCCGCCAGTGGAAGCGCAGGAAGAACGTTTCCACTGTCGAGCTTTTCATTGCAGATGAGGTTCATCTGCTCGGAAACAACATGGGATATGTCTACGAAATCATCATTTCGCGAATGCACTACATCCGAACCCAGACTGAGCTTCCAATGAGAATTATCGCGCTTGGTGTTTCCCTTGCCAACGCCCGCGACCTCGGCGAGTGGATCGACGCGAAGAAGCACGATATCTACAACTTCAGCCCGCACGTCCGCCCTGTACCCCTCGAACTTCACATCCAATCTTACACCAACCCTCACTTCCCTTCACTGATGCTGTCTATGGCGAAGCCGACTTACTTGGCCATCACGCAGATGTCCGCTGACAAACCCGCTATTGTGTTTGTTCCGAGTCGGAAGCAAACACGAGCGACCACGCGTGATCTGCTGACAGCCGCCTTCATGGATGATGACGAAGACCGTTTCCTGCACGCTGAGGTGGAGCAGATGCGCCCTCTTCTTGATCGCATTTCCGAAGAAGCACTCGCCGAGTCTCTTTCTCACGGCGTGGGATACTACCACGAGGCTTTGAGTCAGAGCGACAAGCGTATCGTCAAGCACCTGTACGAGCATGGAGCTATTCAGGTGCTTGTTGCTTCTCGTGACGTTTGCTGGGAGCTCAACAGCACTGCCCACCTCGTCATCGTCATGGGCACGCAATATTTCGAGGGTCGCGAGCATCGCTATGTCGATTACTCCCTAAGCGAAGTCTTGCACATGTTCGGCAAGGCACTCCGACCTTCCAAGGACGGCAGAGGCCGGGGCGTTCTTATGCTTCCGTCAGCCAAGAGAGAATTCTACAAGAAGTTTTTGAATGAGGCTCTCCCTGTCGAGTCACATCTCCACAACTACCTTCACGATGCCTTTGTCACCGAGATCAGCACGAAGATGATCGAGTCTGGTGATGATGCCATCAACTGGACGACGTTCACCTACTTCTACAGGCGTCTCCTGGCCAACCCCAGCTTCTACAGCTTGACCAGCACTACGCAGGATGGTCTCAGCGACTACATGTCGGATCTCATCCAGACCACCCTGCAAGAGCTGAGCGACTCCAAGATCATTGAGCTTGACGAGGACGATGGCTCCGTTGCGCCGCAGAACGCGGCCATGATTGCAGCATACTACAACATCTCCTACATCACTATGCAGACGTTCCTCTTGTCTCTGAGCGCCAAGACCAAACTCAAGGGCGTTTTGGAAATTATCACATCGGCTACTGAATTCGAAGCTATCCAGATCAGGAGGCACGAGGAGGGCATTCTCCGCAGGATCTACGACCGTATTCCTGTCAAGATGGCAGAGCCTGTGTATGATTCGGCCCATTTCAAGGCCTTTGTCCTCCTGCAGGCGCATTTCTCGCGAATGCAGCTGCCGATTGATTTGGCCAAGGACCAAGAAGTCATCATTTCCAAGGTTCTCAGTCTCCTGAGTGCAACGGTTGATATTCTCTCATCTGATGGCCACATCAACGCCATGAACGCCATGGAAATGTCGCAGATGGTTGTGCAGGCGATGTGGGATCGCGATAGCCCCTTGAAGCAGATTCCTCACTTTACACCTGAGGTTGTGAAGGTGGCAAACGAATTTGGGTATGTACCAATTTATGCAGTGCTGATTTGCAAAACTAACGTCGAATTTTCTCACAGTGTCAAGGATATCTTCGATTTCATGGAAGCCATGAACCCCGAAGAGAACCCGGATTACGCCAAATTGGTCAAGCGTCTTGGTCTCTCGCAGAAGCAGTTGGGTGAGGCTGCCGCCTTCACCAATGACAAATACCCCGACATTGAGCTTGAACACAGTGTCTTGGATGAGGACGATATCAGAGCCAACGAGCCTGCGTACCTTAGTGTGCAGATCCAACGACAAGTGGAGGAGGATGAGGAGTTTGACCCGACTGTGCACGCACCGTTCTACCCAGCCAAGAAGTTGGAGAACTGGTGGCTTGTTGTAGGGGAGCAGACGACGAAGAACTTGCTTGCCATTAAGCGTGTCACGATCGGACGGGAGCTGAAGGTGAAGGTGGAGTTTACGGTGCCAACAGCTGGTAAGCACGACCTTAAGCTGTTCCTAATGAGCGACAGTTACGTCGGAGTGGATCAAGAGCGCGAATTTTCCATCACGGCTGCGGAGGGTATGGACGTGGACGACAGCGATGAGGAAGAGGACGAGGAATAGACGGCTCGGCAGATGGCAGAACCATCTCGTCCGTACAATATCGCAATGTGTACTATATCGATCGAGAGAGGAGTTGAGGGTAATAGACAGACTTGGTCACATTCAGTTCTTCGCCCTTATCAGAAACCATCTACAGGCGGCTCTTGTCCTCTTTCGACAGGGTTGAATGGCCTGAAGACCGGTTGCGCAGACAGTGTGCGGTGCGACAGCAGTTGCGGTGGTGCCTCAGCGGCCAAGGTGGCATGGGAACGCTGAACAACGGTGATTGATAACCTATCTCAAGTGGGAAAGGCGCAACTAAAGTCAACGACGCATCTTGATTTCTTTTTCTTCAATAAACCACAAGAGGCAATGTAACCTGATCGCGGTGTATCTCTGCCGGAGGCGTTCGACAGGGGTCAAAGTGATATTGAAGTGAAGGAAGCGTGGCTGAGTCGAGGCAGCGAACGTTCGGTGGGCTGGGCATTGACCGGGCCACGTCCACGTTCCCTCTCACAGGCGTCGCGCAACTGAGACTCCGCGATTTAACTCGTCCCTTGGTGGATCAGCGCTAGTCACGTGTCTCCGCCGTCATCCGCGTCCAACTCCAAGAGTTTCTGCGTTCATCTTTTTCCAGGCCATTGCCTTTTTCTGCTACCACAACACGGGGAGCTCCCAATCGCGCCCATCATCCTTCCTGCAGCCAGATTATCTTCTACCATCGTCGCGACAACAAAAAATCACGAATCGCGCGTATCACGACGCGTGTTTCTTCCTTTGACCCATCGCCATTAGTCTTTGGCGTCGCGACTTGCCTATTTACCCCATCCATACCCTTGCAACCCAGCTTCCAAGCTATCGCCACATCACCGACCATGTCTGACGAGCCGACCACCAGCGGTCAATCCGCGCCTGCCGCGACTGAGGAGGTGGAGAAGAAGGTTGAAGGAACCTCGCCTGCTGCTGAAGCTTCTGAGGCGCCCGCGACTGCTGCCAGCGACGCGAAACCATCTGAGTCTGAGGCAGCTGCCAAGGAGACCACCGAGGATGCGCAGAAGGACGACTCCAAAAACAAGGATTGTAAGTCCCTTCTCCGTCGCCACTTAACCTTGATATCAGCACTTGCATACTCAATTGACCATCTTGCTGACGCATTGCTTGACAGCAGCTGAGACCAAAGACGCGGAATCATCCGGCAAGACAGACGAACAATCCAAGGACGAGGACGTCGAGATGAAGGACGTGACAGATGGAGCTGAGGCGAAAGAGACATCTGATGCCGTTGCCAATGATGCTGAGCAAGCGCCTGCTGCTGACGCTGACGCCGCTGATGCGACAGCTGATAAGTCCAAGTCGCGTCGGAGATCGTCCGGTATTCCGGAACACAAGGGCAAAAAGCTTAGCAAGAAGGCATCGAAGGCGAAGTTCTTCAACACCAATGCGCAACCCGGCGATCACTTCCTCGTCAAGCTCAAGGGATACCCTCAATGGCCCGTCATTGTCTGCGACGAGGAAATGCTCCCCGAGACCCTGCTCAAGAGCCGTCCCGTCACCGCGAAGCGTGCCGACGGCACGTATCGCGAAGACTTTGCTGATGGTGGCAAGCGTCAAAATGACCGCACATTCCCCGTCATGTACCTCCGGACGAACGAATTGTAAGTCAATTGATGATACAAGCTCCCAACCCGACCACAAGACGTTCGATGCTAACTCGTGATTGTCCAGCGGTTGGGTACCAAACTCTGCTCTCCAAGAGCTGAACTCCGAAAAGGCGACCGAGCTCCTCACCGACAAAGTCAAGAAGGTCGAGTTGCGCGATGCCTTCGAGCTCGCCATCGAGCAACACCCCCTTGATTACTACAAGGACGAGCTTCAGAAATACCAAGATGAAGTAGCTCAGAAGCAGGCCGCCAAGGATGCCAGAGAGGCCGCAAAGAAGAACAAGAAGAAGACTCCTGCGGTCATTTCGGACGATGATGTCGACATGGCTGATGCTGCGGACGAGGAGGAGGAGGTCCCCGAACCTAAGGAGAAGACCAAGTCCAAGAAGAGAAAGGCGGACGAAGAAGCCATTAGCGTAAGTTACTGGAGACGTAATAGGATTCGTCCTAAAGCTTACTTCCTACAGACCCCGGCACGGACTGATTCTGCCAAGAAGCCTAAGATCAAGCTGAACACATCCTCCACTCCTAAGACGACAAACGGGACAGCTACACCAAAGTCGGCTAAAGAGTCAGCCGCTAAGCCTGCGAAGTCCAAATCAGCCAAGAAGGAGGGTGCTGAGAAGAAGGCGGAGAAGGAAGTTCCTAAGGAGCCTGAGCTCACCGCTGAAGAGAAGCACCAACGCAAGGAGGCAAGTTAAGATCATGACACGGCTCCCAGCCTAGATGCTAACACGGACTACAGAAGGAGGTTCTCTTCTTGCGCCACAAACTTCAGAAGGGCTTGCTTACCAGAGACCAAGAGCCGAAGGAGGAAGAGATGAAGATGATGTCAGACTACATTACTAAGCTTGAGAGCTTCCCAGATCTTGAGGTCTCGATCATTCGGGCGACCAAGATCAACAAGGTCCTCAAGGCTATTCTCAAGCTTGATTCCATCCCCAAAGAGGAGGAATTCAACTTCAAGAGTCGTTCGCAGACGCTCCTTGACAAGTGGACCAAGATTCTCAGTGGTGGTGATGCCGCTGCTGCGTCTGCAACTCCGGCTCCCACCAATGGTGTCAATGGCACCTCCGGAAAGACTGAGGAGAAGAAGGAGACTTCTGCCACTCCTAACGGTGCTAAAGAGGAAAGCAAGGAAGCTGAAAAGTCCGAGGATTCTGAGAAGCAGACCGAAAAGGAGGCAAGTGCGAAGAAGTCCGAGGAGCCTGAAAAGGCAGAAGAAAAGCCCGAAAAGGCCGAGAAGCCCGCTGAAGAGCCCAGTGAGAAGGTGAGTAACAGTGTCTCATGAACATGCTGAGATGAGCTAACCAAATTCGTAGGAGGCATCTGCGGCCCCGGAAACGGATGAGGTTAAGTCTTAGGGAACCCGTTCACGTTCCCAAAAATCTTGAAAGTGAAGACAAGGCCCAGCCGACTGTGGGCGTCTCGGGCCATTTGAGCCTGGGCTCTTGCGTTTCCTGGCGTATACGGTTTCTCTCGAATCGCAAAGCGATCTCAACTTGGTTTCGGTGTAAAATTACTTGTTCCCGTGTTTCTAAGCGGTGCAGCTGGGAATCGTTAGACGACAAGCAACTGCGGTAGTGCTGATCTCAGACGGCATGCATCGTCTTCGTCCAGTGAAGCGGGTTCATTGTACAAAGGGGTGAAGGCGCCCCCAAGGGAGAGGAATCCAGCTCAGAAAGGACAGTCTTGGCATCCACGGATGCTCGCATTGCCTGCGGCGACCGCTTGTTTGGGTCATGATGAGGCAGGTGTAGGATGGCAATGGCCTAAAGTTTTTGAGGTAGAATGAAGCTCGCCTCAGGTCAAGGGTTTGCGATGTTAGGAGGGCGAGGAGACTGGTAGTCACTAGTTCAACACGGCCTTGGAGGATTGATTTAATGTCATTTATATGGAAAACGCCTTGAAAGACGTGCTTGCGTCCCGACGCACTTATCTGCCAATTCCTAGGCATCTAAATGTGCTATGTCCCTGATATTGTCACCACGGGGATAAAGGTATCCCAAGCCTCTACACACTGTGCACACCAGCGTTGCTAAGGGGTAAAGTGCAGTGCTCCACGTCTGCGACACTGTGTAAGTCCGTGCTTTGAAGATGTTGGCGACGCGTGCCAGTCAGAAAAGCGCGACCTCCATTTCAACGACATATCTTCTCACCGCCAACCGCCTATGTCAACCCACAAAATGAGTGTTGAAGATGACCAAGAACCCCAATTTAGGCAGGAAGATCACCAGGTCAGTGGTTCTGCTTCTCACATGTGTAATTGATGCTGATCTCCGTCTACAGGCCGCCTTCATCTTCCGGCCTCCTGGTGAGGAAGCTGGAGTGGATCGACCCGCCAAACGTCGCCGTTTGTCCAACAAGGCTGTCGTCGAAAAGGCGAATATCGCAACCTCGTCCTCGTTTGTGCCTTTATTGAACGGCGAAGAGCTTCCCGAGTGCGTAGCGCTCCGCGAGAAGCAATTCCAAACGAGCTGGGACCATCTTGAGTCCAAAGCCCAGGTAGGTAGAGCATTATGCCCAATTACTAGAATCTTACGCTGAGCACGAAATCTGGTAGGAAAAACTGCGTGATGCCAACTCGGCCACTCTAGATCAAGTGACTGCTTTCATTCGTGACCAGTCTGGTTCACAGTGAGTGAGAACGGCGTGGGGTTGACTTGCACGACTGACGGCACCACAGGAGCAAAATCCCGACTGCTTTTATCATCACCGGCCCAAACATCTCATCTCAAGACCTGCTGTTCGAACAGTTATCCGAAACGCTTGAGGGGAATACGCGAAGCAAGTTTGTCAGGCTCAAGTCATCGGAAGCGTCCAATTTGAAGGCTGCTCTCAAGAAGATCATTGAGGATGCCACGTCTCGGGGATCTCTGGATGACGATGATGTCGAAATTGCATCCGGACAAGATGTGGGTTTACTTTCCTTCAGCTTGAAGAATGCAATATTAAGCTCACAAACATCAGGGCCGGAAGTATCTCAACTACGACCTCGAGGGTCTGTACGCATTCTCAACGGCGCAGAAATGTGATCACATTTTTGTCTCTTTCCAGGATAGCGAAGGATTTGACAGCGCTCTTCTCTCCGATCTCATCATCCTCTTCAAGTAAGTTGCTATCACAGCAGACTTCTGAAGCATACTGACGTTTTGAAATTAGCTCATGGAGGCCCAAGATCCCATTCACACTTTTATTTGGCATCGCAACATCAGTAGAATTGTTGCAAGCGCGATTACTCAAATCCGCGTGCCAACATCTTTACGGTGCTCAGTTCGATGTCGTCCAAACAAGCGCGATTTTGGAACAGATCTTCAAGCCGACTATTGCGGGATCGGATGCTGCTCTGACTTTGGGAGAGAATTTGTTGCATAGTTTCGTGGAAAGACAGCAAGACCAGGTCGCCAGCATTCAGTCTTTTATCGCATCAATTAAGGTAAGGCTTCCAAACGAATGCTATAGCGGCCGAGCTAACATTTATAGTACGCATATATGTGTCACTTTTATGCAAATCCGTTGAGCGTCTTTGCTGTGGAGGACGATGAAATGAACAGCGAACTTGTCCAGGACGTACATATCGAGTCAATCCGGTCGCTTCCTTCATTTCGGCGCGAGGTTGAGAAGGCCGTTGAAGCGAAGGATCTGAGATTAGCGAGGTCTTTGTTGGAGGATGATGACCTGTTGCGCGAAAAGGTTTTCGACATTCCAGAGAAAAAACGGGAATGGGTCACCCGCCTTCTCCGCTCGCTCAAGCTCATCCAGGCAACGGGTCTCGTTCAAGATGACTTTTCCTCAATGTACATGAAGGCGGTGGCCGAGGGAATTTCCCCTTCGTCCGATGGCTGGGACATTGTTGAAAGCATCAAGCGGATGCAACCGGATGATTTTGTCTCGATGCTGCAACGTGTTCAAGACGCCGTGGCCAGCGGAGATGCCCAGCTGTGTCTCACCGGATGGGAGTCCGAGGCCGGGGACCTCCCTTCTCTTGTAGAAAGCCTTCTCCGCGACTCAAAGGAGCTTCTCGGCAGGGCGAAAGAGGACGGCAGCACTTTGCGGAGCGCCTACAGTGGCCACAGCCGGGTCCTTCGCACCACCGTTGTTGCGCAAAAGGTGCAGCTCAGCCACGATTCGGCAGCCCTTTCCGAAGACGATAAAGCTTTTACTAAAATCGTGGACCGTGTCGCGGAAGTATTCCAAGACGTCATACACTGCGAACCGGCCGCAGAGATTTTCCTGCACGAGACATGGCTCTACGATTCCAAGACACCGTACCGCGACGTTTTCGTACCTCGGCCCCAGGATGTCTTTGAGCGGAGCCTGAAGCGACCGCAAGACTACCTCGCGTGTTCGTGCTGCAGTACCGACGAGGGCATCTCCACGACGATGCCTGTCACGTCGCTGCTCTATCATTTGTATTTGGAGACGGGTAACCTCATCAACGTCGCAGATCTATGGGCCGCCTTCTACGCCATGGTTGCCGGCGATACGGAGAGCGAAGGGAACGCCGATGAGCGGGGGGCGCTGGTGTCCTTTTACCGGGGCCTGGCGGAGCTAAAAGCACTCGGCTTTGTCAAGATGAGCAGGAAGAAGACGGACCACATTGCCAAGCTCAAGTGGCTTTAGGAGCTGAAAGGCTTGTCGACGACGGCCTGGGACTGTGAAACGAGGCCGTGGCGTCAGGTTGCACGTCAGACACGTAGTCCAGGAGAGATAATTCGGCGTTTGGTGATGTTATTTTTTTTGTTCAGTATCAGCAGGCAAAATTGATGCTTTACCTCTACAGACCACTCTTCGAATGATCAAAAAGACGGGTTGTAAGGCTATTTTGGAGGGGGGGACGGGTGTCTCTTTGAAGGAAATTTGTCATTGACATGGTTTTTTTAGGGTCGAGCACAGTGTTTTCGTGTTTGTGTCTGTCTAAACCTTGGACAAGGCTATTGTACGTTGACTTCTTTGTCTAGTAGTCGTCCGGGACACCACGGAACCGACTGCTCAGCCCCCCTTCACAAATCCAAGCTCCGTCCGCAAACCGCTGAAAGCACGGCTGTCCGATTTACCGGTCTTTGGCCAGGCGAGGGACTGTGCTAAGAGTAAGAATTGTAATTGAGGGTAAGTCAATGTGTAGGAGGGTAGAGGAAGCATGGCGAGGAGGGAAAACGGAGTGGAATGGGCGGATCTTGTCTCGGAACCTCCATATTCGGGGCGGGCGGAGCTGGCTTCTTGTTGCGGCCGGCACGCGACTCGTTTCTAGGCCGGCCGGACTGGAATTTCTCAGACATTTCATACGCAACGAGAAGCGCGAGCCCACCACCTTGTATCCTTTCCGTCGCTGTGTCTCGCTCCTCCACCCCCTGTCGAGCTGTCACTCACCCGACCCTCTTCCTCCCCGCCCTCCGCCATGTCTCATACTGGTTTTTAGGCGTATCGAGCAGATAAAGAGAGTCGGCACACCAAAACCACCTGGACTTGTAAGTCCGAATAGAGAGCGAGAGAGAGAGAGGGAGAAGGCGAGAGAGAACCGGCAGTCTGGGTAGGGGGGCTTGTTCTTCCCAAGCCCTCTCAGGAGAAAGTAAACGCCGCTTACAACCTCGCCTGACCTTACCCAGGATGGCAAACTCTGGCCGTCAACGGACAAAGCAGTCGTGTCTCGCCTGACGTATTAGTCGCCCTGCCGCAGCCCCCCTCCTCCTCGTTTGACTTCGGGTCCCAGTCGGTCGGGTCGCTCTGGTGGAGTAATGCGTGCGAGGAAGTGTGGTCTGGATTTCTGTTGTGACGGTTTCTTTCCCGTCTTTTTTTCACTGTTCCAGCTGCTTGTGGTGGGCCCCCCCATTGCCCCATTGATCCATCATCTTTCCTCCTTTGGGGGAGGGGGGTTCTGTTCTTGTTGTTTTTGTCTCTGATCAGGGTTGCTGTTCCGGATCAAAGAAAGCCATATCGAGGAAAAAGGGGGAACGGTGTGATGGGAGGGTTCAATCAGCTAGTGGCCGGGCCCCGTCCCTTTGGGTTCGGTTTGCTCACGAACATACAAGAGAGGCGGTCTTCCGCATCCTCAAGTGTGTATAGATGCTTCAACATTGATCTCTTTCAGATTCCATTACCACAAGTTTCCTATCTCGAGAATCTATAGAAGTCAACAACGTTTTTTTCACACAAACACGTATTACTTTCTAATTCCCTCTCCCGTCTGTGCAGGCATAGATCTAAAGCACAGAGCCTCCTCTTCTATTCTATTCAAAGGAACCAAAAATAAGACGGGGAGAGGACAGCATCAAAGCTGCAAGACGCCACAGTCTGTTCTCACGGAGATCTTCATTTTATATCTCTCAAAACACTTTATTCATCACTCTACTTTTTGCTGAAAACT